CCCTTCCAAGGCAAAACACAAGTGTTTGGTGTGAAACCAGACACTAAACAGTCAAGTTCGGAGATCCTGAGGCAAGGCGCGCAACCGAGACCTCCGAGAACTCCAAACGAACACAAACAAGGGTAATCACCAGTGTTCCAATGGTGGCGTCCAAGTCTTGAGGACGGTCAAAAATGGGGTGTCTACAGTTGCCCCTCTTTGACAGAACTCGAAAGTCATAACAATGACGAGAGTGAATGTCAAAGCAGAGAGACGACCCATTTTTGACAAGGCCGAAGACTTAGACAATGATGCAAGACAAACAAGATATGCGCCCGAAGGCAGGGGCAAAATGCAAGACAATGCACAGAGCCGGACATAACTTATGATCATGCAAAGAAAGCTGTAATGAAGCATACATGTGACAATTTTAAACTAGCATACACCAAACTACACTACAATGCAGAAGGGATGTAAGAGAATCATGTAATTCTCAATACGTCTCACTCGGAGGATATAATACCTGTGCGGCTCGTCTGGTTGCCCTAGCCTCAAATGAACCGTACATACAATATTGTGCCTGCAAAGAAAACAAACTTAACAGGTACAATATCGTTAGCAACATGCATAATAGTGTACTCGAAACGCATGACAACGCAAAGCGAGTGGGGAGTATAAGAATGCCGTGAAGGTACAGATGTGTAAGTGGAACATGCGGTCTACGCAAGCAATGAATTTGATCGTAAGTATGCGGTCTACACAAGCAATGAAATTGGGACATAAGAATGCGGTCTACGCAAGTAGAATATGCGGTCTACGCAAGTAACGAAATTGAACAATCATGCGGTCTATGCAAGTAATGTAATCAACATGGCCAAAAATTTGTTCGGTCGGCAAAATATGATGGCTAGTCGGCAGAATGTTTGGCCGGCCGGCTATGAATGAGGGAATCACCAGAATGCTGACACCTGTCCTCCACCCAACCTTATCTCCTACAAAAGACCCTAACTTCGTAGTTTTTCTCAATTCCACACTGATTTGCTCTGATGGAAGAATTTCTTGCTCAAAATCTCACATTGGATTGCTAGCTTGGATGGCTCGGAAAAGTTGAATTTTCGGGGTTTCGGCATAAATGCACTATTCACTCTGGGTTGTACCCTGTTGCACCTCCCGTTTCTTCAAGCTGCGGCAAGGTTTTGGAATCCGATGACACATGTCTTTAGCTTTGCCGGGCAAGAGATATGTCTTACCTTTGAAGATTTCCGAGCTTTAATGAAGTCCAAGCGCGACGAGGAGCTCCTGCCCCAACTTAATTTTGGCCATGCCCAATCCTTAGGGCGAATGTGTGGACTCAGTATGCGTGACGCTCGGTCTCTGATTTGTGATGGGATGCTGGACATTCCGAGTTTGACCGATCAGATTTCTGATGCTGGTGATCGCAACAACCATCACCGGCAAGGCTTCCGGCGACACGCCCTCTGTTTGTGCATGCTATCCCATTTTCTATTTGTCTCAGGCTCTGGAGGGTCTATTGTCCGGCTGATTGAGGTTGCCCAAGGCTTGAAGGAGGGCAAGAGCTGCATTGCCATGACTCTGGCCGAGACGTTAATGGGCTTAGACGCCTTTTATCGTCATGAGACGACCAGATTAGCAGGAAGTCCACTACTACTACAAGTAATGTTTCCCACCCAATCTCGCATTATGCATTGCTCACATCACTCGACCCTCAAGCTCGGTCTTTTCTCACAAAAGCCTATTCTCACTTTTCTCTCTTCGTACATCTCTCTATTCTTTACTCTCTCATTTTTCATCCCTCCCCAGGTATGGTTGATGGACAAACTGCAGGCTGTGGACTTTTGCCCAGCATATTCAGCTCGCGGCTACTTCTTCCGGCACCGTCTAGTCAATGCCTTGGATGAGGGATGGTGGTTCGCTTGGATGTGCCGCTTGTCCGCAGACCGTATTGCTTGGCGGTGCCCTTGGCTGAGCCTTCCGGCAATGAGTTACAATATGCCCCGGCAGACTGGGATTCAATTGGTTGGCCTCACTCACTGTGTATTCTACTTCCCATTTCGAATTCGACGCCAATTTGGCCATGATCAAACCTGCCCGCCAGAAGGGATAGAGTATCCTGCTGCATTCCCAGCCCGAGGCGCACAGCTTGCTTGGCAGGCCACTGCGTGGAGGATGAGAGA